CGCGGGGTGGTGGCTCGGGAGCCGTTGTGGTGAACGCCGGGTCTGGGCTGGGTTGGGGGGGCGCGCGGTGGTGGCGGCGTGTGCTTGTGCCCGGTACCGGGGGAGAAGCGGCTCTCAGGACCGGCCCGCCGAGCTTTGCACGAGGGACCGAACGAGGCAGGTTCGGGTCTGGCTTTTAGTGGTTTCCCCGAGGGGTGCAAGGGGGGCATGTGGGAAGAAACCTCTGGCTGTTTCATACCCTTAGAAGCAAGTAGGGTTTGCGCAGGGAAAATCCTGACTCTTAAGCCGCTTTTCTTAAATCTCTCTTCAGACCACGTTGCAGACAGATGAGGTGAAGAACGTTCCTTGTGGTACCAGGTGAGATGTTCAGCTGATACCTCCTGCAGTCTGTCATTTTTGCTGGAAACCTTTGGATCCTTTCCCCTTTTTCCCCACTGATTGCTCCAGGATGCTTTAAAACATGTAGATTTGTTTCCCCGGGCTGCGCTTCCTGCCACCCCTCCAGATGAAATTGCTGAAAGTCTCAGTGATGCGTCACCCCCTGGCTGACGACCCCGCTGGGATGGTTTATGTGCCGCCATCCTCAGGGCCTGCACTGAGTTTTCTGAGCCTGGGCACACGTTTTCATGCTCCAGTTTCTGGAGATGTGTGTAATTGAAACCAGGAGCCTGGTGCGAGGCGAGGGGCGTTGGGGGTTTGCTGGCGAGTCGCAGCCTCAGCCCGCTAGAGGGGAGTGTCCCCTGCTCAGAGCTGCCCTGCTGCGCAGGCAGAGCGCTTGGCCTTTAGCACACTTCATTTTCTCTCTTCCTTTTTCTTCTTCTGGCAGTGGAGGAGTGATGATTTATTTCGACAGAATCGAGGTGGTGAATTTCCTCATCCAGAGTGCAGGTGAGCTCCTCCCCTGTGCCCCTGCAGCTCCAGCCCCGCGGAGCTGTTGGTGCTTCTGCTGGTGTGTGATGGGGTCAAGAGGTTGCCCGTGGCTGCGCTTTGGTTTGGAACTGGGCCTACCGCCTGTGTCCCCTGTGTACCTTGTAAAGCCCTGTACTTCCTGGGCATAAACTTTAAACCAGCTCTCCCAGACGTTTTGTGTGCTTATTAGTTCATGCACATACTTGTTCTGTGCTGCTAGCTGCTTCACTAATACCTGAACATCATCCATCACTTGTGTTATTTGTATTATTACGGCCCCACTGGGCTTTACACTTTGGTGAAGAACTGATTTGAATAATGATGTGTGCGAGAGGTGGGGGAGACACGTGTCTGGGCAGAAGGCCGCCTCTGGAGCCCAAGGAGAACAACCTGTGCAGCCTTTTTTTTCCAAACGTTGACTTTTAACGTCCTGTTGGTTACAAGTGTGGTGTAACTGCCTGGCTCGTCGCTGCCCGCTTGGAGACCTCTGGTTCCTGTCAGCCCCAGGACGCCCGTCCCTCGTGGTGGGTAGAGCACCGTTCTCTGTCCTGCAGCTCAGACACAGCCCACGTGCATCTGCAGATCCTGCAGAAAGGGCTGGCACTGGTCACTGTCCTTCTGTTCACAAAGCACGTGACAGAATATCGGGCAGGGTGTTATGAAATATTAGTGCTGAATAAAACTTCCCCGAACAAAGCAGTTGTGGTGCAGAATTCTCCTGGGGGTGGGTTCCTCATTTCAGAGTGTCACTGCGGCTCTGCCTGCTGGGGCTGGGCCACAAATTTTTGCTGCAAGTGCTCAGCCCAACCTGAGCCATCCCTCCATCCCAGCTGGTTTGGTTTTTTTTCTTTTGTAGTATACGACATAGTGAAGAACTACACCGCCGACTATGACAAAGCTCTCATCTTCAACAAGATTCACCATGAGCTGAACCAGTTCTGCAGCGTCCACACACTGCAGGAGGTCTACATCGAGCTGTTCGGTGAGCCCCCTTCTGCTGTTGGAGTGATGTTTCTGTTGATCATTTGCATGGTCTGTTAGTGCAGAACTTACTGCCCCAACTGATGGGCTTTTTACTTATTAATCCAGTGTCCGTTCTGCTTGGAATCGGGGTCCTTAGCCAGCTATAGTTACTTACTCCTTGTTATCTTTTGGTGCTGAGTGCTTCAGTATGTTGTAATAAAAAAAAAAACAAACAAACAAAAAAAAAAAAAACCACAAAAAACCTGCCAGCAGGAACAGGGTTTAGGGAGAGGAGCAGTAACTCTGCAGCATTATTTGTGTGTTTAGCAAATGTGACTTGTTGAATCAGTGGCAGCATTTGCTAGTCCAGATGGAAGAGGCAGTCTTCTGCTCTGCGCTGTTACAGAAAGTGCGAGCGAGCGCTCCCTGGCCTGTGGGTTTGATCAGCTGCCTCACGTGCCCTGGCACCGCGAGTGAGCGCTGGGAAACGAGGCTGCTTGGCAAGGGCCTGCTGACCCCCCCACCTCCGGCTGCTGGGAAATGGGGCAGCACGGGCACTGGAAGGACACGCTGCGAGAGACTCTAAAGAAAAGTTGTGGTTTCTTGGTAGAAATAGACCAATCGCTGCCAGTGCTGAGTGTCTTATTTATGGCTTTGCACTGACAAGAAATCCCTCGCAGCGTTTCAGCGCCACAGCAGCGCTGACTGGGGGGAAAGTGTTGCTGTGAGTGGTTTAGGACCCCAAATGGACAGAATTTGTGCCTGAAAGAACACGGGATGTTTGTGAACTCCTGTTCTCTGCTCAGCTGGGCTTTCCGCATCCTGCCGGGCCTCTGCACAAGCTGCAGAACTGGGGCCCAGTTCCCCCCCCAGTTCCTTTATGGGAGTGCTGGCGGGTGTACTGGTTCTTTGGCGATGGAGACTCCAGATGTTGGCAGCTGCTGACGACAACTGCTTGAAATGGGCTCAAAGCCGCTGATTTGCACAGAAGGAACTTGTATAAACTCCCGTGTAACTCTTTGTTTGAGCTGAATGTTTTCTGGCTCGGGGGTTCCGCGATGGGGCACAGCCCGTTTCGAGCAGCCTTAGGTCGTGTTCTGCCCCCACATCTGCGAGCAGGTGCAGGAAACTGATAACAGCTGTTTCCCGGACTCCTGGCTGAACTTCGTTAGGAGTGTGAGTTCCAGATCGCTAAATTGGGACCAAAGCAAGTGATCAAGGAGTGTGATGTGATCATTTTCAAAGCCGTTACATTTTTATTTTCCCTGTGCACTTCTCAGCCGGCCCCAACTGGAAACACTGCTGTCCTTAGAGCTTCTCACTGAACCAGGGCTTTGGTTTCTATTTCCTTTGGAAATTTCTTAGCTACGCTGGAGTTAACCGTTACCCATAGAGCCAAGCAGACATTACTGATGAGTTTTTTGCAGCCTATTAAAATAACTAATGCAGCCATTTCACGTTTCTGCCTTTCCATTTTCTTTGCTGCTGGCACAGATGCCGTTCCTAATCAGTCACAGTTTAGCTGGGCCATGTTACTTCAGGACCTAGTTGAGAGGATGTCAGTGGGGAAGTGGGTTAGAGCAGAGATTCTTTACTGTAAAGATGCTGCTTCTGGCTCGGAAGGATTCCAGACTGCAGGTTATGGGAAATGGGAAGGAGTTTGATTTTATGCTTGGCTTCTTCCTATAGTCTGTCCCAAGTGTTTGGTGCTGGTCAACGCTACTTGACGTGCTGAGAGAGATGGGAACCTGCCTTGGGGTCAGGGATGGTTCTTCTCAGCCCAGCACTTCTACATCAAACTTAGATTTGTAGTGATTTTCCAGGAATGAGAAATCTGAGTCATTCCAGCTAATTCTGTACATGTTGACAGCAAGCTGCCTTGTGGGGTTTTTTGTTACATTTTTTCTTTTTTTTCCCCCAATCAGATCAGATTGATGAAAACCTCAAACTGGCCTTACAGCAAGACCTAACTACAATGGCCCCTGGATTAATTATACAGGTAATCAGGATTCCACTTTGACATAATTAAGGTGCAGATCTTAAGGAGGGGTAAGGGCTAAAAGGAAATATGAAACTGTGAAACTTTTTTAGAAAACTGCTTTATAATACAGACTTTAACTTGAGGGATGAGATCAGTATCCTTTCCATCCTTTCATAGCTTTGATGTCTTGGGTTTCTTGGTGTTATTCTGGGTACTGGTTTACCCGGGTTCTAATCTCCTGTCACGTCAAGAGATCATTCAGTCCTGTGTTTGCTCTGGTCACGACTTCTGCAGCATGTGAAAGCTTTGTGTGGCAGAGCATGCCCTACGTGTTAGCTCCCCCTCCCTTTGCAGCCTCGGGGGCCATTTGGCTTTTGATTGTTGGCTGCTTGCCTATGTTTTCTTCGGTCTCTCTTTCCAGGCAGTTCGAGTTACAAAGCCAAACATCCCTGAAACAATCCGGAGGAATTATGAGCTCATGTAAGTGCCTGAGACTTGCACCTTTGTGTTACCAAAAGGAATCGGTCATCCAGATTAATGTGTTTTCAGAGCGTGCAGTGATCGGAGTGCCCTCTGCCAGGCCTGCTCGCGGCCCCGTGCTGCCGTGCAGAAAGGCTCTGGTGAGGCTGCACCAGATGAGCACGTGGCTGTCACTGGAAGTGCCTGCCAGGGCACAGCTGACTTGGAAGATACTTCTCCATTTTGAACACTTGAGCACAGAAATTACTCGCCCAGGGGCTCCTTCCTCTTGACACTGGCCCTCTTTCAAAGAGGCCTCCCAGGGCGTGTGAGTGAGTGGCAGGTGGACAGATTCCACCACTAATCCTGTTGTTTGACTGGGATGGAGAAACTGTTGATTCAACAGGCTGAAGACTTGCAAAGCTTTGAAATAACTTTCTTTAATAGCACTTGACATACTGATCCCTTTTCAATGCTCTGAGCCAGCTGCCTTCCCTTGCACTTGATCATTCAGAAGTGCTTATGTTCTCTGAGCACTCTGCCAACACTCTGTGTAGGCCAGAATAAGTTCCCTCTCATCCATTTTGCTTCCCCAGTGTCTCTGTGACCTCCTGGGATCATGGCGAGTCGTGTGTGGTGCGGTCATGATAGGCAGAATCCCAAGTCAGCCTGTCACCTGTTGCCGTAAATACAGCAGGATGTATGTTGAAAGAGACTTGATATGTGTTGAGAGAGGCTTCTTGTCTCTAATCTCTCTTCCTTGATTGGGAGCAGGAGCGTTTTATTTATATACACGCTTCTAAAACATGAACGTACCAAACGGTAAGATAGAAAAGGCTCTGGCATGTAAAATGCACAGGGCCATTTGATTGAGTGAAGGAAGATTTCAAAGCTGGATACTTCCAAATGAAGAATAACCATCTGTGAGGGCAAGGCTTTTAGAGGATTTTCATTTCTTTGTTTAAATAATTTCCTCATTAACAGTAGCCCTAAAAACTTAGACATGGTCTGTGACCTGCCTCTTGTAGGAGGTGTTGTGGTAGCCTGCAGAGAGTAGCAGGGAGTGTTTCACACTCTCTTGGTGGAAAATTCTTCCTGCTGTGGAGGGGAGAAAAAGATGCCTTGATGTAGGAAAAAAGCTCTGTGTGTGCAGGTACACGGAGTCGCTCCCGACTGCTGCCTCCCCTGACCCGGTGCTCGAGGGAGGACTGAGGCAGCAGCTCATCCTGGAGATGCAGTAGGCCACACACTGCAGGGAGCTCACACGTTGTAACTGGCTTCTTCTGGCTCCTTAGGGAGAGTGAGAAGACAAAGCTGCTGATTGCAGCCCAGAAGCAGAAGGTGGTGGAGAAGGAAGCGGAGACAGAAAGGAAGAAAGCTCTCATCGGTCTGTATCTCTGCTTGACTGCGGGGGGTGCGGTGGGGTGGGCACCAAAAGGAGCCCAGGCACCAGCGAGGGGTGAACCTGATTCACTTTTGGGGATCTCTCTGCTGCATCTGTTTGCTGCTGATCTGAAACTCTTGCAGAGAAACTCAAAATGTTTTTCAGGTGGGTTCCAGCTTTGCCCACAAACGTAGACTGATGCCTTCTGAGGACTGAAAATTCTTCCCCTTCCCACAATTTATTTCTGCCAGAAGCGGGTTGGGAGGACTTTCATGGGTGAAGCTGCTTCTGGTGTTAGGAAGACTGTGTGACAACAGCATGGCTGTGTTCTTTTTTCATTTCAGAGGCAGAAAAAATTGCACAAGTTGCTGAAATAACTTACGGACAGAAAGTGATGGAAAAGGAAACAGAGAAACGGATTTCCGAGATTGAAGGTGAGCGGTGAGCTTTCCAGTAAGTAAATGTTCTGGGGTGAATTTTATCTGAAGTGCCTGAAGCATTTTGCCATGGAGTTAAGTAGTTCTTGAAGGGTGTGTATTGACTCTGTTCTTCAATCCAGGCCGATGTTCGCAGGGGTGAAGTTACTGCTCTGAATCTTGCGTGTGAGCCCATGTATGTGGTACCTTTTGTAAGGCATTGCAGTTCTGAATAAATGTGTCTGAATACTCAGATTCTCCCGGCGTTTTCACAGCCTGTCTTTCAGTGGAGTTTTCAGTGGGGCAGATGGGTCAGGATAATAGAAGACGTGCAGGATATTTGGGCAGTGACAGAGTTAGTGAAGCTTGACTCCAGATTCGTGGGTGATTATTCATTTAAAGTAAGTGCAGGAAGTGTAGTTGTCACAGGTCCGGCAGAAGGGAATGGCAGGCTGGTGTCTTCCTAAAAGTCATGCCAGGTTTTGGATAATGGCTGCAAACTCGCAGAGAAGTGGAAGCATCCTAAAATATTAGTGTGCAGTGTTGTGGGGGCAGCCACATCTCTTGTGGCTGCAAGATAATCTCTTGATTATCTGCAGTAGGGCAGGGTTGTGGAAGCTTTCTATCCTTTTCTTGCTTAGGATTCTTCTAGCACCTGTCTCTGAAGAAGACATACACAGATTTAGCTTTAGTTTTTTGTGTAGCGTGAAATATTTAGAAAACAAAGTCTGGCTGTTACACACTCTGCAACAGCAGGGGTATGTTATGTAGCTTCCAACTGGTAAAGATTGAGAGAAGGGGAAGGAGAGTGTCATCTTTTGAAAATGTAGTATTTTGCTTTAACCAGTAACCCTGTAATATCTCTGTTTGTTTTACATTTTTGCTTTTTCATCCTCCTTTAGTTTTGCAGCTGACTACTTTTAGGATCTAGGGTTGACCAGAGTTAGGAGTAGGAATGTTTCTTTGCAGACTGTGCTTCTTGAAACCCTCTTTCTTGAGGTGATCTTTCTAGGGAGGTTGTACTGTTAAGATGTCCCCCCACCCATCTGATACAATCCTTTGCCAAGGAAGTTCCAGGGCCTGGAAAGGGCTCTCCATTTCCAGCCTAGAGTGGCAAGGCCTTATTTTCAGTTACGTTCATTCTAGGGCCTGTCAAGCTTTTGCAGAAGGCCGCTGAGGAACCAATTAAGAGTTTTACAGATCAGCAGCTTCTCATTAAGAAGCTCTTTGCAGAAATATGGTGGGTTTTATTTCTTACAAATGTGTGTCCCCGGGTGTCAGGCCTTCAGTGTGACTCTGTGCGGGTGGAGGGTTCCTGTCTCCCTTGTTCTCTCTGGTGTCTCTGAGCGGGACCACTCCCTGTAGCCAAAAAAAAGAAGTCATGGGCCAAGCCATGCAGTTGCTTACATGGTTTTGAAGCGTAGGAGCTCACAGGACCCCCTGGTAGTGCAGGTAAACAAATGGTTTATCCAGCTGTGCAACTCTCAGACCCAGCCTGGCAGGTACTACAGTCGGGTGGCTGCCTGTCACAGGAGAGTCTTGAGATCCCATCGAACCAGACAGATTACACTCACCTTACCTTAACGTGGGGACTGATACCCCACTGTTATCACTGCATAGATAACAAAAGGGGAAAAAAGCGCAATGCAGAAAGGAAGAGTGTTTCCTTGCAGTATCCTGCAGGATCAGACCCTTTACACAACTGTTGATGCTGCAGAGAAACAGGTCTCCAACATCTGGCCGAGGGGCAGAGCCTGGAGAGGTTAAAATTGCCTGCCTCTACGTGCCAGAACCTTAACCTCAGTATCCCAGACAAAATCCCATCTGGGGAACTGCGTTCACAGTTGCAGGCTTCATCTGCAGAGCAGCCTGCTGTGCTGTTCCTGGAGCCCTGTGCAAATGTTGTGGGTAAATACCACTTCTGCAGTGGAACAGTTGCTGCGTTTTCAGCACGAGAGTTAGTGGCTGGCTAGAGAAGAAAGAGTGTTCCCAGTCCGTGTGACAGGGGGAGTAATAAAACCCTTATGTTTATAAAATGCTTTGAGGTCTTCAGTTGCAGATGCAATTCACTTATTCAGTGCTGTCATCCTGCAGCGTTTTAGATGTAAGTTGAGATCCCGTTTCTGGGTTTCCCGTTTTGTTCCCTTTTCCCCTTGTTGTGTCCAGTGCAGTTCAGATGTGGTACTGGCCACTTTAAAAAGTTTCCAGCTGCAAATGGTGCTAACGTGGCTGGAAATAAAAAAGTGAATATGAGAGCATGTATCTTCTTCCAGATGCTGCATTTCTTGCGAGAGAAAAGGCAAGAGCCGACGCTGAATGCTACACTGCTATGAAAGTAGCCGAGGCTAACAAGGTATGGTCATTCCCTTGGGCTCCTCACGTTAGACTGGATAGAAATACTCAGCAAAAAAAACCAGTCTGTGTTTATTGTTTCCTTGTTGTGTCTTATTGGGTAAGTCAAAAAGCAAAACAAAGCCGCCATCTCAGAAAAATTTTCCTCGAGGCTGTAACAATTAGATCCTTATTTACAAATTCATTTTCTTCTCTGGATGGATGGATGAATTTAGGTCAAGATACATAAAATATCTGGTCATCTCTGGAGACAGCTCTGCTATTGGTTAATGGGGCCGTGGCTCCCTCTGTAGATAAAATACCAGTTTCAGCGTTGCCCTTTCACACTGTTGTAACCAGAAATGTCGGTTCATTCTGGCCTGCGAGCTGGCGAGCCATCAGAGCAGGGACGTCTCTAGAGTGACAGGCAGCCTTCGAGTAAATGGGTGTTCAGGTGAAGAACAAATGGAGCTGATCTTATACACCAAGCTAAGTAGCCTGGCAAAGCCTTGGTACTGCAAAAGCAAAAACCCCTCAAAACCCCCTGGAGACAGAGATTGAACTGCCAGGTTGTTGCTGCCTACAGCAAGTTCCCAGGACATCCCAGCAGGGAGACTTTCAGTTTTTGTAAGGGTCAGTGAGAATGGGCAGAGGTCTGGGATGTTTGTGCACAGGTTTTGTCCCAGTTATTCTATCCTCTCTGTTATAATGTCATTATCCTGAACGAATGAGCTCTGCTCTCTGAAACAGCCTCGTCAATCTACTCTCTGGAAAAAAGCCAGTTGTATTTTTCTCTCCAGTAGCTTGCATTGCAAGGGCTCTCAGTGAGTTATGTGCTTTCGAGCATCTCCATCTCCGGTACATTTGGATTGAACGTTTCCCCAGCTGCCTCCATCACTTTCTCATTTTGCCATTTAGTCACTGGGATTTAGAGCTTCACTTAGACATACTGAAAGAGAGCCTTCATCTGGGCACTCCGTCTTTTCAGCGGAAGAGAGGATGAGCATGCCTGCTAGTGGTGTGGAAAAGGAGATGCCTCGCATGCTCATGACAGAAATTTGCTTTTGACTGAATCAGAGCTGTTGGTGATCCGTTTTCTTTTTGTGCAGCTGAAGTTAACTCCTGAGTACTTGCAGCTGATGAAATACAAGGCTATCGCAGCAAACAGCAAGATATATTTCGGCAAAGATATTCCCAACATGTTCATGGACTATGCGGGGAGCCAGACCAAATTTGCAGAGGGGCTGGCAGAAGGGATCCAAGAAGAGGACGGGGCAGGAACCAGCGAGGACACAAAACTACTTCATAATGTCAACTGAAAAGAAAGATTTCTATTCGTTTTATATCAAAAAAACATGAACTGGGAAGTACCTTTTTCTTTTCCCCCTTTCCTGTACTGAAAAAGATGAATCAGACTTAATCCTTTCAAACTTTTGTATGACAATTAGACACAAAGACTTTGGTATTCATGGGGTGTTTTTTCTGGTAACTTCTAAGCAGCCATCTCCAGGTGTGTCCTCTAGACACACCTCTCCCTGCTCTTGGACACACAGACCAAGTGACTCTGGAGAGGCTGGGCAGGCTGCTGTCCTGCAGCCAGCTTAGGTGGGCGCTTCCCTTTGGATTGAGGTGGCTCGTAGCAGTTGGCAGTAAAGAAACTTTGAGGTTTTGGAGGAAGGGGAATTGCTGCTACAACTTGTTGTTTTGTTTTTCTTGTTGGAAATTTTGCATACTTTATTTCAATCCCCTTTTAAAAAACAAAAGGTGCTAGGCTTTTGTACACTACGTGTGTCTGCTCGAAGGCCCAGACCTTGCCCAGATGGCAGGTTAGTGCCTGTTGTGTGGGGCACTGGGACCACCGAACAGCCTCTGTCTGTGCCCCAGGTCCGTCCTGAGTGCAGGGTGTAGCAAATGCACAAAACCACCTTTTACCGAGGTCTGAGCCGATGTGTTTTTGCCTTGGTAGGGCAGCTGAGACCACGTGCGCAGCGAATTAGAAGTTCAGCTGAAATCCTGCGGGTCACCTACTTACCATGGGGGGATCTAAGCCTTAGACCATCTGTCGCGCAGGTAGTGGCCCAAACTCTTCATTTTCTGCATCTTAACACTGGTTTGTTTTCCATTTGTCATATTTGAGGAGGGCAAAGTAGTCTGTGCTTTGAGGCTTTTCCCAATGGTTTAGCTGCTAGTTGAGGGGTGTAGGTATGCTGATGGAGGCAGCGTCCTGCCAGTGGATAATTGGACTTGATCTTCAGTGAAATCAGGCTGCAAGCATGGTACTTGTCATGGCTGTCATAGTTAGAAAAACTAGGGAGAAAAGAATTTTTGTCTCAGGGACCCTGACTTTGCTTTTTGCAAACTCCTTGCTGGCAAGTAACTGCTGGAATGACTCATCCCGCGGTCATTACAGTACGTTATCTGCCTCTGCAAGACTGACTGTATTTTAGTGTTTACAGTGTCTTATTAGAAATAGGACATTCAGGTAAACTGAAATGAATGGAACCAAGTTACTGTTGGTTTGGGTTGTTTTTTTCTGAACAGACCTCGTGAAAGGCAGATTTACCAGTAGCAAAGGACACAAAACATTGTACTGAAAAGTCCCAGGGCAAAGAAAAGAACCTCTTGTGTCTGAACTGTCCAAAGAGAAATTTTCCTTTTTCGCTCAGAACAATGCTGTATAATGTACCTTTCACTTCAGAAAACTGATGAATGCATCTGGTACGTGAAGAAAAGAGGTAATAGGGTTTTATTTTACACACGTGCAAAACTTGAGGGGGTGTTAAAGACAAAAGTTCAGGCCTAGAGAGAACATTTTTTTTTCTCTCTCCCTAATCCATCTGCCACTTGGCAGGAAAGCCTGTTTATTAATTGCTGTTATAATTTGCAGCCAACATACTAATAGAGATGATGCAAGTTTAAGTGCTAACTTAGTTGTCAGAGACCAGCCTATTGCATTTACAATCTTGTGCCCCAAACACTTGCTACCTACTACACTTGGTTTTGTTCTTCAGTGTTTTAAATATGCATTAGCTTTTTTAATAAGGCGATCACACTAAGAGAGAAATCTGATTAATTTCAGCTGCTGGTTCCAGTATTTTTACTTCAGTTTTCCCTGTTAGGAAAGTGACTATTGATATTTGAAAACACAAAATAAGAGATAAGCATCAGTTTCTGCTGGAGAAAAGTCCCGTCTCCTGTGTGTCATCTTTGTATTTGTTGGAAAAGATGAGCGAAGGGAAGTTCCATCTCTAGAGGGATGTGCTCCGGTAGACAACATAGCCCTTTATAAATCGCTCCCTGCAGGGAGGTGATGGACAGGGAGTACAGAAAGCAGTGGGGTAATGGTACCTAAACCTTGGAGGGTGATCTTATTTGGGATTGTTCCACACTCATGTTAGAGATTTCCATTGGTAACTAAACCCAACTTTTTACATGAGTATTCTTCACTAATGAAAAGACCCAAATAAGCCAAAGTGGTATTATAAAATATGTTTTTGTATGACTCCACAGTAAGACAATAGTTTGGAATAAATAGGTCTTAATGATTTTTTTTAATTGAAAACATTACTGCTAAGGTATTCTTGTAATTTAGTTAAACTGTAATAAGAGCAGAAAAAGCAAAAACAAAGTTAATTCATATAGTTTTCACAAGCCAAAATCCATTGTTGTGTTTTCATTCAGGTTTCTTCATCATTTGTATAATTTCCTTAATTTTCCAGAGTAGATATGTCACTACATATAAATCTTTATTGCATTTATCGGACATTTTGTCCTCATTTCAAGATTTCGGGTTATGGAAATGAAGATCTGAGTTTTCAAAGCGTTCTGTATAACAAAATTAAACACAGGTTTGTGGCACTGCTGATACCTGGGAGTTGCTGGCGGGAGCATGGCGATGCATTACCAGTACAGTCGTTGATCTTACTACGTATTGAATTAAAAGCCTTTTTATTTTGGTATTTGCTATGACAATAAAATGGCCTTCAATTTTAGTATCACCTGGGTCTCTTATGGATAACCTTTAACACAAAGCGCAGATGTATCTGCAGGGGAAGGTTTGCCAGGGGCAGCCCCAAGGTGCCGTGGCTCCCGTGCCGCTGCGTGGGGCTGCTGCTCCCTTTCCGGTGAGTCGAGGAAGGCCGCGAGTGTCTTCCAGCCTTGTTTTGCTAATTGGATTGGTGAAAAATACAGTAACAAGACTTCAGTGGCAAGTATCTAGGATTTGGTAAAGTTTGCAGAAAATCATTGTCATGTTTTACCAGACAAATGGCAGGACCCTCCTGGGTATTTTTAAACAGCTGTGTAAATACTGTCACTGCTCAGAATACGGGGAGGGAGAGCAAGTTCTGCCCATTAAGACAAATATTTTAGCTAATGGGTTCCAGCTGGCAGTTTCCCATTCTTTCCGGCTGACTCGCCGCGATAAAGGCTGGCATTGTCTGCGGGCCGGGGCCGCCCGTGCCCTCTCCGCCTGCGTGGCTGCGCTCCAGGCGCTCCCCAGCGCCAAATGGTGTCACCTGCCCCGCTTTTATTAAGTTTCTTTCCTGAAATAATTCAAATTTGCACCCCGGGGAAGACTGTTCTTCATGCAGGTGGGAAGAATGTAGTTTTTTGGGGGTGCGTTGTGTGGACTTTTTTGGTTTGGGGTTGTTTTTTTCTTGGAGCACACGAGGTACGTGGGTCAAAATCAGTTCTGTGGTGTTGTGACAGGCAGCACTTGCCCACGGACCAAACAAGGCTCTTGGCTGCCGGATTTTCTTCCCGATCACGAGGGCCAAGGGTTTCTGCAGACGCCTTCCCCCTAGCGGAAAGATGCCTCTTGCCCAGATCTCCCAAAAGCTGCAGCTGGTAGAACCTTCCCCTCTCCCGCAGAAGGGAGGTTGGGGCAGTGACACTGAGGCCGCTCGCAGCTGCTGTAGCCGGGACCCCGGATTTGCCACTAATTTTGGCCAAAACCCAGGACGGGTGCGCGGGGGGGAAGGGGAGCCCCCGCCAGGCCCTGCGGCCCAGGCTTCCCCTCAGGAGCCC